ATCTATATTGGGGGGCGAAACCTGTGGAGAGTGGTGAGCATTTGTAGTATGTTTGAGGTCATGTTGTGAACCTGAATAAAAAATGGTAATGTCGTTTCAGCGAAATTGCTGATCGTTGGATGGTCAGTCCCGTTGAGTATGGGCATGTAAATAGGTGGAGGTGGCCTACCAAGCAAGCTAAACTGACTCGAATTTTTGCGATTTACTTCACCACTATTCGACGTCCTATAGTTAGGTGTATCAATCTTTCGGTTTAAAGTGGTGGGAGGGTTTACTTTTTTGGACAAGTAGCTACGAGGTTCGGGCTGCGTTTTACGGTTTATAACCCTTTCGGCTTTGTGAGTATTTGGTTCTGGAGAGAGGTGTGTTATCAAACTGTGAGTATCTGAATTAGTGTGTGGCAATAGTCTCTTATTATGCACTGTCTTTGTGGACGAACTGGTAGCCCCACTTTTCAACTTCCTGGAATTGAGGCTGCTTGGATTGGGGAATACTGGGTGTGATGTACCGCAGTTTGTCACCGGGGTACAGGGATCGTTATCAGAGGAGTCTAGATCCACGGTGGATTTCCTTCTTAGTCTGTGGTTATACATCGATCCATTTTTGGATCTTATATTTCCACGGAAGTTCGTTTCCGAATACGATGTGCTTTGTACAGAAAGGTTCACACCCTTTTGCTCTGCCTCTACGGAATTGTGGGTGCTCAGGGGTGTTGTAGAGGATTTGGGATTCACAGTTTTAGCATCGGTCATATAAGTCATTCTTTGGATCGGCGTTTTGTCACGAGCTAACTTGATCGTGTGGTAACGCGTATTTTTTAGTAGGGTTTGCCTACTGTAAAAGATGTCAGCATTGGAGGACGAGTCAAATTTCAACACAAGTGGGCAAGATTTGTTCTTCTGAGACTTTTTTAGTCGATGGCAGCTGCATGGGACGTTATTCATAGAGCATGCATTTAAAAGAGTGTTTTTGACCTTGTTGATCTGTGCATTATCCGGTATATTATACACAATTATGTTCTTCTCGCGCACTACACGTTGATATACTTCAGTTGCAACGTAGTTTATAAGGTTTGCAGTTTGTGGTAACTTTCTAGGTGAAGTACTACTACTGCCAGTTTCACTAGGCAGTGCCAGTTTTGACATCTTAACTTCAAGCCCCCTAATTATAGAAAATAGTTCTTCGAATTTATCTTCACAACTAAGTGTAGAACAAAAAACTGGATTAGTGATGGGAGTAAGAATGTTTGCTGTGTGATTCTTATCGCAAGACGCTTTGCAGGTGTCTACGAGGCCTAGATCATTACATGTAGTATCACTGTGTATACCATCCATGATGTTGTTTACTACGCAAGCAAGTGAGGGGAGTTTAATGTCCGGACTTGACGTGTCTACCGCAGCAGACGTATATGTAGTTGTTAAATCAACAGATGTAGTGCTCTCACTTCCTGCAGGGCTACTTATTCTGTTTGGTTTGATTTTTTTACTGGGATGTGAAGCAGACAGTGGAGTTAGACGCTTAGTTTGGACCATTGGCATTTAGTACTAAGTTAAAATTCTTAATTATAAGAGAATGAGCAATGTGTCTGTAAGGTCCGTTTTAGAGTGTTGGGGATTTAAACTGTCTAGTTCTGTATGGAATTAACAGTTTAGACGAATAAAAATATTGAGATAGGATATTAAGATACCCTATAAAAATACTCTAAATGCGAAGATGCTATAACAGTAGCACTTAGATGGACACTATCTATAACGGATAATTTTAACCGTAAAATTTATATTCTATGTAAGAATAGAACTAAATATTTAATACTATCGTCGAGAGACCTATTAAAAAGTCGCCTGTGGACTAAAAAAAGAATTGAGAAATAACACGCGAAAAAGTAACAAAGCCTTTAAATTGCGCTCTGCCTCATTTCCCCTGTTTACCTATGAGACTTTGCTGACAACCGTGTTTGCCTTGCATCTTGTAACTTATCTGTTGAGGATGTACTACGTAACCTGTTACACTCACTAGATCTATATGCATTACTAGACATCATGAGGCCTTCTCGATATCCACCTCTCTGAGGCCCTTTCGTCATCAATGATTGCATTTTACCCTCAGACTGCTCTATTCTAGGGGTGAGATTCAATATACTGGCAGACTTTCTCATAAATTGATTGACACTATCTTTTACTAGTTTCAGGATATCATCAAATCTTGGCTCGATACCCTCATCCTCCATACGGGAGCTTATCTTCACCCACTTCCTTTGCAGTCGAGTAGGTAAGCGTTTTGCATTTACCCCTAGGACTGTGCTCGAGTTGAGTTCACTCATGCAATTTATAGAAATCAAGGTATTCCTATAAGTCATAATATTATCTAAAAACTCAGTAAGTGCCTTGGAGTCATCTTGAAGTTGACTGCCGTTACCTTTGACAGCTTCGTATACGTTCCCTACTATCATCGAAGGTCTTCCAAACCGTTGACTTAGTATGCTCATGTCCTCGTAGTAGCCCTCTTTTGGCTTCATAAACTTACAGCACTGCATAGCTCTTGCAGCATCTCCAGTGCAATACCTCATCAAATACATCAATTTCAATTCATCACTTAATAAAAAACTACTCAGCATGATCTCAAACTCCTTTACAAATTGTAAATAATCAGCCGGGTTTCCATCAAAACATCGTGGTTCTAATTTAGGGAGTTTGATGTTCCTATTATCCCTGAACGGCGAAACAGTAACATCAGCCATGTCATGCTTAACATCAGACACATCGATACAATTAACAGACAAGTCACCATGACTTACTTTCCTGTTTGCATCCAAGACGCTCTGTCGCTTATTTGACTCAGGCATTGTTGAACTTGACCCAATTCCAAGAAAGTTCCAGATATTGCTAGTTCAAAGAGGACTTGACCGGCACCAGGAAAGATGAACGGTGACTATCCAAACTTTCACCTACTGTCTGAATCCGCCGGATTCTGTTTCTACCGTCAGAAACTGTCAGCCACATCTCGTAAACCGTCAATGCCCAGCTCTTGCTACGCTCGGGCTCGCGCTGTTCCTTGAAGTTTTTCAGAAACGCTTACTAATAACGGACGCAAAACCAAAACACCGATTGGCCGCTCGAGAATTCTTTATTGTAACACCAACATATAAAAAATAATTTCACTAAGGTTTCTGGCGGTTTACTGCTGACTTCTTTCTGAACAGCGACCGATGAGACGATGACTGTCGTATTGATGCCTCCGCGAAAATTGGGGAAGTTGGTTTTGAGCAAACAACAATGAATTGATCGTTCAATCTTCAACTACAGTGACAAGTCTGTCACCGGATTTTCTCTTTTCTTTACTCAAATTTTGTTCATCTCCTTATATAATGCGATAAGTTTTGAACTCGGTTCCTACTTCTATTTTCCATCTCTGTATTGATTCATATTCTGTCTCACCATACTCTTCTCCTCTACTACCTTTTCTGTGCCTGTATAGATCCATTCCTTGTCTTGACTCTTCCTCATTAAACGGCTTTACACTTTACCATGAAAATCATCTTCAGATAATTCCAGCGTTTTTCCACACGGGCTTCCTCAATTATCCTGCGTAATATCTCTGACTTTGGTCAGATGGCCTTAGCGGTGTCTTTTGTAGTTTCGTACTCCAGTTTCTGAGTATCGAACTAGAATTGTGGTCTATCTTCATTCGCTTTAAAATCGTTTGGGTTGACCTTCAGGTTTCTTTGCAGCTCATATCTGCCCCGTTCTCGACTTCGTATCCATTACACTACGTCTTTACTTTCTCGAAAGTGGGATGAATACTTTGAGAAGGTTATTAGCATTAAATAGCGAAACGTCAGTAATAACAATCTCGTTTTGTTTTTCATTCATTGGGAAATACAAAAACCTCTATTATAATGGGATGATTTCTCTCTAATTATTGGTGTATTCGTCTAGCAAAAACCACATCTCCCTGGGTATATCCTAATGCCTGCACACGCTGCCTCCAACTGCCACTGAAGGCGGAGGGGTCTGTGAAGAGTCTTCCATTTTCATTCATTTCGCCGAAAACCTCCGACTCATGGGTAATTTTCTTTCTGCATTGTTTGATCCTGGTTTAGTATTAAAAACTTCCATCAAGATTTCGATATCGCCATTTAGAATGCTATCCAACGGTGTCAGTCAAGTTTCATAAACCGTTAATATCCAGTTATTGTAGGCTGGGCCTCACACTGTCCCTTGAAGATTTTCAGAAACGCTTAGTATTAACCGACGCAAAAACCAAAACACTATTGGCGACTCAATAATTCTTTATTTTAACGCCAACATATAACCAGCAATACTGGCATTACACAGTAAGCTTTCTGACAGTTTTTTAATCTTCCTTCTGAACACCGACCGATGAGACGATGACTGGTGGATTGATGAATCCGCGAAAATATGGGGAAGTTGGGTTTGAGCAAACAACCATGAATTGATCGTTCAATCTTCAACTACATTTACAAATGTTGTTTTCAGTTTTCGACCGAAATCCTATTTCTTCTCTTATTCTGAGTTGTTTATAGTTGCGTAGCATTGGACAGATGCAACCTTCCTTCTTTTTTGAGTTGATTCTTACTGTCTTTATTCTTAAGGAGACTGCTTCCTAATTCTGCTGCTGGTGACGTCGTTGTAGCCGCTCTCTCAGTGTGCCCATGGCTGTTGTCTGGATGACTGGAATAGATTATTGACTCTCCTGATAACAATTTGGGTAGTTTACATCCATTCCACATGCTGTCGGAGATTTACATATCTCTTCTATAAAATATCATCTAATTTCTTCGCAATTGTTGGCAGGCTTCCCGGCTTCGTACTACGAATGAACACTTCACGTTTCAATGCTAATATTTGCTGTCACCGACAGAAGACACATCGGGGGTTAGCTTCTTGCAGGCTTTCACCACCCCGCGTTATTTTAATGCTTCCAATTCTTCAGAAAAATGAGTTTGGTTTATATATTTTTACTGTACCTCAAAGTTTCTGTGCCAAGTGAAATGATTTTCCTGGGTGGGGTCACCAGCCTTGGGTCAACACAACCTTTCTGTTTTCCAGACATGAAGGCCCAATAATCTTTGGGATGTTGCTGAAAGTGTCAAAATCTCTTGACTCTTGACAAGGTGTGTGTAAAATCGATCTGCTGTCTGAAAGGCGCGTTGTCCTTGGACAAAGGATTTGTTTGGATTTATCACTACCAATCCATAGGGTATACTGAGTGTTTGACCTCACGCTACATTTGAATTGTTTTCTGATGTGGTCTTAGGAATTGATGATAGATTTTGTTATAAGGAGTCGCATTATTTTTATGATGTCATCTGATATTAGTGACTTTACGTATGACAAACTATTGTCGCTTGCCTCACGGTATAACAGACGTCTTCAACAAGATAAAATGAGTCGCTTGCCGTTTTTGGACGGTGCCACAGGTATAGCTCAAAGACCATGTTTGCTGTATCGGAACCAGAGTGAAAGAGAAGGAGGCTATTTAACTCAAATATATCGTTATCGTCCACACAGATGGAAGAAAAGCAGACGAACTGGTCAACTCCCATCTTTTCTGTATCATGGCGATTTTTTAAATGGAAATACCAGAATCGGTAACTGAATAGAAATATTATATTTTCTAGATCGTTTCAACCATGTGCCAGGAAATGATCTGAACTCCAGAGAAGCGGACGATGATGACAGCCGAGGTGCATGGGCTGCTTGTCCAGAATATGATGTGGACTCAGACACTAGTGATATTGCAGATGAGAATTTCAGCGTGCGCAGGCGTCGAAGAAAGGGAAGGGTAAGTATTATTCGCCGAAATTTGGCGAAAATCACTATGGTATACTTCGAAATATCAGCAATATTGACTCAACTTCTCATTTTATGCTAGCTCCATTTTTATTAGAGACTTAGTCTCACACTGGCCATCTTACAACCTTTTAACTACTGGAAGCACTAATACGTAGTGACCAAAAGTACGTTGGATATTTTGCTTGTTTGTATACTAATCTCATTCAGTCCAAGAAATAGTTATTGTGACACCAACTACTTCTCAGATTTGGATCTCCGGTTGGGTATAGGAGATTACAAACCTGTGTTATTCGTTTACTGTGCTTGTTGAGTGACTTGGAAAAGTCAGTAGGGGATGCTGACACCACTTCCGGTAATTGGTTCTACGAGATAGTGACTCCGTGGGACAACCGACACTCACTAACGGTAAAGTTCCTTCTTAGCTTCTAAACTCATGTCCTTTGAGATGTCTCGATACGATAGAAGGAAAATACATTGAATCCGAATTCACTCTCTAGCAGTTTGAATGGAATTATAATAGGTTTAAACTGTTAAGTCACTTATCGTACCATAGAATGATCATACCGGGAATCATACACGTGTCCTTCCTCTGAATTCTTTCTCGAATGTATGTGAGTCTTCTATCAGGCAAGAGCTGTCTGTCCAAATACAGTCTTGATTTGATTTTGCAGTACATCCGTCTGGTTCTAAATGTTGGCTACTAGTAGTCGGGTGTTATCAAAATGGTATAAAACCATCACAGAAGTGTATGACTTCAAGTTGTCATATTTCGAAAATCGTTTGAACTATAAGAATGCTTACCCTTTGTTCAGAAATGATTTTGGGATTTAGCGAAGAAAACTGTATGCAGAGGCGTTCAATCCTGTCTAACTAAATAATATATGCTTACATGGCTTATGAATTTACTTTAAAACAGAAATTAGAATAAGTCTTACATTACATCTCGTGTATTTTGCCAGTAATGATTCGGGGTTGACGATGTCGGGTTTTGTTTTGGACGAATACAACTTATAACTCAGTTGAGAGTTCTTTGTGAATCTTTCTACTTTCTCATAATTGGTGATAATTATTTGTAGTCGAATATGCAGAACACACCGTATGACCCCCCGCGGTATTGTCACTTTCAAGTAAAAGTGAGTGGCTTCTAGCTATAATCTGTCTGTCTGTCTGTCTGGATTCAACATAGAACTTGGCACCGAAGTGCAGCAGTTCGAGTTGCCACGTTCCAAATAGCACACAGAGGTAGACAAGAAGATGAGTGGAGAGAATTAATAGAGTTTGACAAATATAGGAGTGAAACAGAATGGGTAATGGTAGAAAGGAATATGAAAGATTACAGAGATTGAATACATCTGCGCCATTGACAACGATTTTGAGCCATGTCACCTATTGTCTCCAGCCATTGATTCCTAGAGTCCCGAGGGCCCCAACCCGGGAGTCTGCATCTCCCTACCTGACTCAGTTTAACTGTCAAGGATTTCATGGATTGATGCCATGTTTTTGTTTGGCCACCACTGGCTCTTTTCCAACCTGAACCTATATCAGCTAACAATGCCCGTCGGGGGAGGCGGTGGTTAGGCATGCGCACCACGTGACCTAGCCATCTTAGTCTATGTAACTTTATAACCTCGTCGATTGATTTTCCCTCTTTACCCAACACTCTACGCCTAACGTCAACATTACTTATTTTGTGAAACCACCTAACGTGAGACAGAGATCGCAGACATCTATGATCGAAAGCAGTCAACCTTTTCATGTCTTCAACGCGTATTGGCCATGTTTCAGAGCCATAGAGAAGGATGGAGCGAACTGATGAGCAGTACACACGTCCCTTGGTTGATAACCGGATGTCACGCCTACGCCAGAGATGGTGTAAGTCAGCGAAAGCAGCTCGAGCCTTTCGGATCCGTGCTGAGATTTCATTGCCAATCAGTCCGTTGGTGCTAATACAACTTCCCAAGTAGGTGAAGTGGTCAACATGTTCTATCACTTCACTCCCTATCACTAAGTTAGGGGTTGACTATAATCTGGTGACTATATATGTTCTATATACATCATAAACTAGAAATTTTCACACAATGCATTCTGTACCTTATATCTTTCGAATTCAGGAAATGCCCGCTAATTTTTTATAAATAATCGTTCCTATTTATATTTTCTGTTATGCTGTCGTGTCTTTTGCTTGACTTTTGAAGTATGTCACCTTGAACTGATGCACTCCTGTGCAAAGGTTTACTCACACCCAGCAGTCAAACACTCGCATAAGGTCTATCGAGTATGTTGCTAAGGAATATTGTTGCCACTACGGCTTATATAGTAAATCTTTTCATTTACATTAGTCAACACGTTTCTAATAAGTTTATATATATCATATTATTGTGGTTCTTTACCACTCATTATGACGAGAGTGAAATTTGTTCTTGACATACAGTCTAAAAGTATCTGTTTTAATGGAATTCTCTCATCAGACCCCGCGCATCAGCCGATCAGCTCACTCGGGACCAGGTCGACGCCGATCTGCATATTCTGGATTTGATGATGATTCAAACGACCGTCAAACTTCTTTACCAGTATTTCTATGCGAATTTTGTGGTGTTCGATATAGATCACGGGCTGGATTGAACTATCATATAAATTCACAGCATTCTGAGGTATGTCTATTTCATTTCATTGTAGCCGTCACCAGTTTCGTTCCGAATTCAAACGTGTTTTAGATATCTTTGCTAACATCAGTATCTTAATGAATATCGTAAAAGTCTTCCTCATGTGTTGGCTACTATGTACCAATTTACAGTTAGGTGGATTAACAAAAACGAAACAAAGTATAGGCCTGTAAAACAAGTTGACTAATGTTCAGTTGAACCCTACATCTAAGTTTCTTATCCAAATTTTGTTTAAAGTGCAATGAGTCGCTTGCGGCCTCAAAGGATTTGACTCACACAGTGTCAGTACTCAATCCTTTATGTGGAATATTTCTTCACATGTGCTTCACATATTTTTTGGTTGATAGTATTTATTTGTCCTGTTTTCTGAAGGACACTATGTATATATCATAATAAAAGATATTTGAAGTTTCATGTTGAAAATTCCTAAATTAACCACAAAAGTGGAAAGAATCAGGATCCAAAAAAGAGAAAATTTAGTCCACTTATTTCTGTGTCATCGACTGTAAGGTAACAAACCTTGGTTAATTCCTCTGTTCCTTGTTCTGATATTAACTTCAGGAACTACTGGTTTTTGAGATATTCTAACATCTCAGCACTGACAAAATTCGGTAACGCGATGTTAATATCCCCTTCATACCTTGGGCAAAATATGAAAAATTGGCAATCGGCCCTTCACCTTTGGTCTAAATGTTTCAATATAGTGTGTGAAGTATAATGCATTGTTACTAGTGACAAATTATTTTTATTATTCCCTTGGGTTCCTAGCGGAACATAGGGCTTCAACTGTACATCTCCACTTGCTTCTGTCTTCTGCTGTACTTTTCACCTGCATCCATGTTAGTCCATACTGTTTCAACTCCTCTTCACACGGTCTCCTCCATGTCACCCTTGAAAGTCCCACTTGCCACTTCCATTTTGGGTTCCACTCGAGGGCTTGACGTGCGATGTCACCCAGCGGCCTCCTCAGAGAGTGTCCAATCCATCTCAATCCACTTTATCCTGCATATTTGTTGGGCGATTGTTTCTTGTTTTGTTTGTTCCCATAGTTTCTTGTTGGTGATTTTTCCGGACCGGCCATCTGATCTTCAGTATAGAGCCAGCAAAGACAGTTGTTGGTTGATAAATGTCTGCAACAGGCTGTTGGAAATATTCTTTGTGACCCGCCAAGTTTCTGATCCGTATAAAAGAGCTGATTGACTTGACGTTTGTATTGAAAATCCGACCGAATTTTGTTGGTGATACTGAGTTGAGTGACGAAGATTTCCAAATTGGTTTCAGGTTGATGAATGTGTTTCTCGCCTTCCCGATTCTCGCTCGACTTGACATCCTCGTCCTTTCCGACTTCCTGTAGTTGAGACAATGCTCCCTAGATGAGTGGATGAAGTAACCTCTTTGAAATCCCTCCCGTTGATGGTGATTGGCGCTGAATGTTGTTGTTGGTTGGTTATTTTCATAACCTCCGTCTTGTCTATGTTCACCTGGAGTCCTGTCTTCACCGACTGCTTCTTCGACCAGTTTCTCGGTTTTCGCTTGTAAGTCTTCGATTTTGTGTGACATCAAACATAAATCATCCACGCGCGAAATCCAGGTCTTCTAGGTTCTTCCCGTCGGTCCAGGATATCCCTGTCTGCTCGTTTCTCACTGTCTGGCGCATAATCCAGTCCACCATAATTAGGAGTATCATTGGTGAAAAACGGTGGCTGTATATAAGAACAGTCACAGATATGCATTGTTTCTAGCTATTCGAAACTTAATGTGACATCTGTTTAAATAGTTCCTTGACTACATGCTCGCTTCAAGAAAATTGTTTAGGCGCTTCATGCGCTTCATGTAACTAAAGTTCTATGATTTTCTTCTGAACTTCATTGTTAATGGATTACGGGACACTGTGGAACATTGTTCAGCAAAATAGCCGGTAGAGTGCCCTATGCATCATTTCAGGCATCTTTGAAAGTACTTACTGAACATGTCCTGTTCTTGCTAAAACGTATTACGACTGGTAGGATGATTCAAAGTAGTTCGACTGTCCTTTATTTGAGTCTAGTTTTCTATTTATTTTTTTCTGGAACACGTAATAGTTATAATATTGGCACAATAAGATGCGCCACACTAAGAAACCCGACGGCATTGTAGTGTAGAGAGAAGTGGGATTATTAAGCTTATTTATGAAGCAAATTCAAATGAGTATTCATTACTTCGTATTACTTTCGGTGGTAGACGAAACTGGAAGTGCCCAGTCTTTTCTAATCTGGTCTGTATTTCATAATGTCTTCAGCTTTTTCTGTCTAAGCCCACCGAGAAAGTTGTGGCTGCAACAGATGTTGATGCAACACAATCTCCCTTCATTCTGTGGTGTCACTTTATGGGATGACAATATCCCGTTTTCCAACTAGTCTCAGGTTACTTTACTTACTTCGGCTATCTCCTACGGGAGGATGAGCCGGCTTCATGAACATCTTGAATCATCGCTGCCCAGGCGAGGCGATTTGATGCTGATGTTGTAGAGAGTTCATGAAGTTTCATGAGAATTAGGTACGAGTGATATCCCCAGCATCGCTCGGCCTTTTGTTTGAGAGTGCAGCTCTAGCCTTTACACAACCAAGTGTGACCTACAAGGCAGTAGGAGTGGAGTAGGGAGTCCACTATCCATTGGCAGCCGGTGACCGGAGTCCGGTTCATACGCCTTTTTGAATGGAGCCAGACATCCAGGGCATCCAATAAGCCCTTTGTCCATACGTCTGCCGGTGAGCTTCATACACCAGTCGTTGGAGGTTTGGAATCTGGGTTTAACCATCTCCCCTAGACTGTCATCCAATGGACAGTCAACCCGGTGAAGAGCGCCGGGCATCCGCTTTTGCCCTCTCACTTCGATGAAAAACACCGCCACGTGAAGGCAGTGAGTAGGACTTCCTCAGGAGAGGCTATGTGAGACGCCCGGTCGTATGGGAGCATTTCAAGAGGTGTACGGAGGGGTGGCCAACCCTCAGCGCAAGGCACCCACCCCTGACCATCCTGAGGCTTTGGAGGTCCAGTAAGTAGTCAACAGTGTAGGGTGAATTGGATTAATATTTTTAATACGTGTGCAAGGTATTGAAACCGGCTTTCCTGGCTGAGATGACCAACCTATTCAAACACTGAACGTTAGGCTTCAGAAATAACTTCACGATTACACCACTCGATATGAGCAATCTTATGGAGTCAACCAACCGGTTGGTGTGACCTGCGTGTTATCACACAGTAAGACGTTATTGTTTACATACTCGAGTTCAAGTAGTTTTTCTTCAGATACATCTACGTCAACATTGCGCACATCATCCAGGATAAATAATGGTTAGCAAAGTTAATGACAAATAGCAAGATTAAACAACCCTGTCTTACCTCACAGCTGGTTGGAAACAGTTGGGACAAGCATTTGTACGCCCTAGCCCTGCCTGATTTGTTTTTGTAAAAGGCTTTAAGAGTGTTGGCGAAATTTCCCTCTAACAGTGAATCGAAGATGGTTCTGATATCAAGGGATGCAACGATTGTCGGCCTGAAGTACGAACGACGGTGTTGTAACAACTGGAGAAGACTGAGAGTTAATTAATCCGTCTATAAGTTGAGGAAATCCAGCCTGCAAATTAGTTTCTCGCGTGTTTTATAAAGTCTCTGAAACACTGCAGGAGCCTATATTTCTGACGTGACTGGTAATGAACTCATTGATGACACCACATCACACATTGACGGGGCACTCAACCCTTAACTGTAGATTCACCATCATCTTTAAAAAGAGCCGGAGGTAATTCGTCTCGGTCAGGTGCCTTATGGTCATTAACCATTTGGAGTTCCTTGTGGATATTCACTTCATTAAATGGTTCAGTAATGACCAATCATATAGTGTTGTATTTTAGAAAGTTGAAGGGAGTTGCCGTAGGTTAGCTATAGTATTTCTCAATGTGCTCTAATTCAGATTGTTAGTCTGCTTAACTGATGCCATGCTTCTCGCTACTGGTAACTTGGATAATCTGGAATAGCCTCTGACTGCTGTCGAATGCAGCTGTTACTTCTATCTCACAAGCATGTACATAAGTGCTGTTTTATTTTAGTCGTAAGAGTTTTACTCAGGTTGTTGTACTGACAATCTACCAGCATGTGCCAACAGGGTCTCACACACACCAGTGTTTCTTAGCAGAAATCCTTGTTAACTGCAGTCGTCTTTACTCGTTATCTTAGTGATATCTTTTGAGTTCAGTCAATTCGTAAGCATACCTTTCAGAGGATTAGTAGCTGACTCTAAATTTGGTTCGGTCTGGAATTTCGTTACAGTACTGAGTGCAACTAACCTTCTTTGTCACGGAAATGTGGCTAGTTGGCTTCTTTGTTTAGTTTTTGACTAACAGATGCCGGATTCAATGTTCCACCTAATCTCTTTCAGGTTGGTCATAAAGTAGTGTTTATAAGAGCTAACAGCAAATTGATTTCACTGAAGGGTAATATCTGAAGAAACCTCATTGATAATTAAATTGTAGTATTTATTATCTATTATACGTAATTTTTTTTTGAATTAGCACAACTGTAACAGTAGTAGGACATTGTGTGACACTAAAATGCGGACAAAAGTCGAACACATCATCTCATGTTGGTGGTTAAGTAAATATGCTTGAGTAATGCTATGTAAGTAATAGTGCGTCGGTGGCACAGTGGTTAGCATGCTAGCCGACCATGCACATGGTTCGGGGTTCGATCACCGGCCGACACACTCCTTTACCTCACTTATCCAGTAATAAGACTGGTAAAGAGGAAAGGTTGGGCATGAGGCCAGCAACCTCATCCTGTAAAATTAAACACCACTGCTACCGAAACTTCAAGCCACCAGCTTGAAGCCCTATGTCCCACTGGGAACGTAAAGGAAATAAAAAAATGCAATGTAGATTGTAAAGCTTAGTAATAATACCGACACCTAGGAAGACGGATGTTCATTCCATTCTATTTCAGGATAAACCCATATGAGGCATGTTTTGGGGCTAATAGAAAAGTCGGTTTGATTATTATTCCAATCTGTGCAAATATGTTACCGGAGTGGGGTTCTTGGAAAGCTAAGGATTCAGCAGTTGGTGTCTCAAAACCACTCACTCTTTGACATGTATTTATTTATTTTTTTTTTCATCGAAATTCCTAAAATTCGTCTGTGTTTTTGGAAGTGTGTGGGCGGTTGTTACTTCCCAGCTGCCCACAACGTGGAAGTTGATTGATTCTCCGGGTACCTGAAACAGAGAGAGAGGGTTAGTGTTGCGTGACCACAGAGCCCAGGGGACAACTGCTCGAGTCCGGTCACACACGGCCTGTATGAACTAGTTCTTTGGTTTGGTTCCGTATTAGTAAACTTACCGCCGGTTACAGACCACCGTAGGGTAAGTCGGGATGCACAATTTTCGGGGTCGACCTTTTATAACCCCCGTCTCTCCGGAGTGGAGAGACAGCATAGCTGGCCAGCATGCTGGTCATCTGAGGGAAACACCTTACTGCTGTTACTTCCCTGTTCCCCAGCAGTACGACTTCGCCCTCAGACCCCCAGCATAGTGTAAGAAAGATTCTTACACAGTGCCAGTAACTGCTTTTAGTCTAATCGCTGTCATGGCATGGTAGGACCTGCAGGAACATTGGTTCCAGCCAGTGTGGCTTGTTGGGTCATCGCGATGTGCAAGCCCGACCACCACGTCAAGGTAGCAGCTATCGGTCGGGAATTCCTAAAATTACCACTGACCTACATTAAATTATTATGTCTAACGTGTCGTATTGCTGCTGTGTCTATTCTTTTTGTATGTTTTTGTGTGTAACAACTCAAACTGTTGTACGTCTATTTAGAGTTTAACTAAGATTTATGTGCCAGTGCAGTTTTTGACCTAAAGATGTTTAGAAAGACGAGGAATGCTTTGTAATTCAGACATCCAGTTCACAGAGCGCAACAACATCGAAGAATCACTGCCTTCGTTTTGGAAAGTTATACTTATAGTTTTTTAGTCACCATTACGCTGGTTCTGAGAAACTGTATACTTATATTTTATTTTCACTTGTAGCGTTTTTTCCATACCTTTCACCAATTTATCAACTTTTTGTTTTTACTTCTTTCGTCATATTATTTATCAGACTCCACGAATGAGTTGTGCACGTCCAGCCTTTATGTCACCTTATCGAGGTGACCATCATCAGTCTCACCATCATCAACAGCAACAACAACAACAGCAATCCCACCAACCTCAGACTAATCATTTGCTCAATGGATCGTTAAATAATTCAGGAATTACTAGCAGTTATTCATCTAGTTCGCATTCCAATCATGTAACTAACAAGAATAGTGAAAATATTAATCCACTTCCTTCAAATGGTCCGGTTGCCTCTTCAAGAATTCGCCCTTCAGTTATTGAACAAGGTGGTAGTTTAAGTGAGTAGTATGTCTTTCAATTATTCACTGTTTTTAAATAAACATTATTTATTTAATTGAATTTTAGATTTCCCCGTCGATTGGTTGGACCGAAGTGCTCGGTCTTAGGTTGACATGTTTGTTGGCTTCTTGTGTAGATGCTTCGACGATGTCTAGGCATGTAATTAGAATTTAATTCGTACATCCAGATGATGAGTCCCAAATAGGACGAAACGCGCATGCTGAATTCCACTGCTAGTCACTATCCATCAATTAAAGCATTATTCATGTTTATCACTGCAGAACAGATGGCTTACTGATACTGTTTTCTTTTCTTTTTTTCATTTTTCTAAACAGTTATTGAAGCACGTAGTTGGAAAGATATGAATGCTACAGACTCAACAGAATATACTTGTGACTTCTGTCTTGGCAATGAAAGATTGAATAAGAAGACTGGCCAGTCAGAAGATATGTTAAGATGTTCAGATTGTGGACGATTTGCTCACTTCTCGTGCCTACAATTTACACCGAATATGATTACTTCTGTACATACTTATCGTTGGCAGTGCATAGAATGCAAGACGTGTTGGCTTTGTGGGACTTCAGAAAATGATGTAAGTAATTGTTATACTGTTCTTATTTATTTACCACTTAAAGTAATAAATATATATTAGAATAGAATTTGGACCTTATGACGCAGTATAATTCTACCATAGAATAGATTTGATAATGACGCATACACCTGTACAGTATTACTTACTGATTACGTTCTGAGCACAATTTATTGCTGGTCATAATCATATCAAGGCACCAACATAACTACCAAATATCATTTATATAATTCCGTTATTTCTTATCCTTTGGTTTTATTGGTTGAGTCATTTGTATTGCACGTGTTAGGCGTAGATTCGATGAACCAAGATTCAGTTGTCGACTTCTTCCTTTACCTACCTATATTACTGTTTAGAACAGTATCTCTGTGTGTAGTGCATGCATTGGGATTTTGAGTTTTTCTCTAAACCATTCATCTTTGTGTAGGGTCAATCATTCTACACTTAACCGAATGCTTACATTTTCCGATAATCTCAGTACACTTGGGTAGTTGGCTTGACAGTCATTGCAAGGTATTATGTAGAATAAATTATTTTGCCTAATTGTATTAACATAGACCTTAAGCCTGCAGAACCAATCTGCTTCCTGCTTCATTAATAAATGGACGTAGGGTTTCTAATGTCTCTTCCTCTTATTTTTTTCCTTCACGTTCCCAGTGGAACATAGGGCCTCAATCTAGGGTTGGCAGTGTTTAATTTTACAGGATGGGGTTGCTAGCCTCATGCCCAACCTTTCCTCTTTACCAGGATTATTTCTGGCTTAGCGAGGTAAAGAAGTGCGTCGTCGGCTGGGGATCGAACCCCAAACAATGTGCATGGTCGGCGAGCGTCCTAACCGCTGAGCCACCGACGCAAACCAGGGAGTACTGGACAGCTGTTTTCATCCTAATTTGGGAATCATCGGCAGTACGCACTCAATAGAGTTCGAACCCCAGGACCTTTTGGTTACAAGATGTCTTAAATTCCTCCTTATCTGCGTTATGGTCAATAGTCCCGCTAATGTTTTTTTCTTTTCTTGTAAGCTCCATTGACCTTATTAATGAATTTTATGTGACAGTCATTCAACACTAATGCTTCTCCTGTCTGTTTGATTTCATCATTTATGTTTTCTGATGTATCACTTCGAGTTGTTGCTTGGTTTGGTAGATACTTTACTTGGCTAAGCCTGTTTTTACACACAACGGATGAAGTGTATTCAAGTCGAAATGTCTATTAGTGTGTCGGCCTTTTATAAACGTTAGTGCATAGTTTACCTTCTATTGGTTTTATTTTACAGTCTAACACAGTCAATTCTCCTTATTCATTTTCTGATTCAAATGTGACTTTTATCCCCTCTACTACTGAGTTTATATATGTGAAGATACTAGAGACATGTTCTGTTTTTAACACTGTATAAGTGTCATCTTAATATCTCCACCATATCTTTGGAGTAGGATTAAATGTATTAAGAGGCATATTTTCCCAACTATCCATAAAACATCTGTTATGACAGGAGGTATTGGTGATCCCGTTGCTACTCCTAATGTTTTTCTGTGTATTTTCCCATGGGATTTGAAGACCATATACGGTGGGCATAATTGAATTCCTAGCATTATTTTCTCATTGGAAAGTTCTGTCCTATGAGAGTGAGTTCGAGATCAGTAGTAAGTTGTTTTCTAACTTCTGCCTAAGCCATATTGATCGGTATATTAGTATAATGATTAGTATAATTATCTCAGAACTAACCACTTTCTGATTATCTCCTCCTATTTGTATGTCATTTCACTTCTTTTTCATTTCTTATGCATTGGGTTAATTGTTCAAACTCTGAATTAACCAATCAGTATGGCTTTGGAAGCAGTTCGAAAACAACTAACTACTGATTCCGAACTCTTACAATAGGATGAGTATAGAGTTACAGTTCTAAAAAGTAATATAAGCAGATTTAGAGACAGGGAGAGAGAGAGGGGAGGAGATCGATCATTGAATCTTTGTTCATCGAATCTACACCTAACACGTGTACTACGATTGACTCAACGTCAGTACAAGAGATATTTGAAAAATATTATTATTACCAATAAATCCGAAGGATAAGAGATATAATCAAATTATATAAACGATGTTTGATAGTTATGTGGCTGCCTTGGTATGATGATTATGAGCAGCCATAAGTTGTGCTCGAAACGTAATCAGAGTAAATAAATAATATTGTATCAGTGTGTTCTTTTATGTAATAAATTTATTTCACGATAAAATAACTAATCTTCAGTTCTTACCTTAACTTTATTGAATCAACTTTTAGGCGAATTAATGCAGCCCATTACTAGATGAAGTATATTTCGTTTTCAACTTTTATTAATCTGTCTGTTTTTGACATAGAACTTTGCACCGATGTGCACCCGTTCAAGTCGCCACACTCCCTCCTTGTAGCACACAAAGCAACAGAAGAAAGTAAAAAGAAATGCATAATAGAGACAATAAACCGAGGTGTGGGAAAGCAATAATAGTAACCAAGATCGATATAGTTTCATTGGAAATCATAAGTCACAGGGAGTGGATGCATCTGCACTAGTCATTGAGAACGACTTTGAGCCATACCACCAATTGTTTCCAGCCACTGCTTTTTACTGTCCCGAGGACAACAACCAGGAAGTCTACCGCTTCCTACGTGGCTTAAACTAACTGTTGTACATTTCATTAACTGATGGCATGTTTTGGTTTGACCGCCACTAGCTCTTTTCCGAACTGATCTGTCCTATGTCAACTAACATCGCCCGTCGAGGAAGGCGATGACTAGGCATAAGTAACGCATGTCCTAACCATCTCAGTCGATCTAATTTCACAGCCTCGTCGATTAGTTTCCCCTCCTTATCTAGCACTCGACCGATGCTTGACCTTAGTATTCCTCACCTTATTATAGCACCTCACACGGGAGATAGAGCACAGGCACCTATGATCAAAGACAGGTAATCTTTTCATGCCTTCCACTCTCAATGGCCAGGTCTCACAACCATAAAGGAGGACGGAGGGAACTGCTGTGCTGAGCAGTACATTCACATCCATTTGGTCAATAGCCGGATATCACGTCTACGCCAGAGACTGCGTAAACCGGCATATGCGAAACTAACCCTCTGTATCCGTACTGAGATTTCGTCGGAGACCAACCCATTGACATCGGCTGATGGTACTTCCCAAATAAATGAAGCGGTCAACGTGCTCTACCACTTCACTCCCTATTTCTAAACTAGGAGTCAATGTAGTCCAGTCCAGTCCTGTAGCCTTATCATCTTACATTTGACAGCAGGAGTGAATCGCATTCCAAACATTCGTAGATTGCATCTCAAGGTGTTCAGAAGACTCTGCATCTCGTCAGCGTCTTCGCCTAGAAGGACTACATCGTCTGCATATTCCAAGTCAACGAGATTATTCCCAGGTAGCAAGTCAATCCCTGAATCGCTGAAGTCACTTAGGGTTAAGTCCATTAGTACATCTATGATGAAGTTGAATAGAAATGGGGATAATGGGCATCCCTGGCGGACACCACTATTTGTCACCAGTTCAGATGACAACTCTCCGTAAGCCCTCACCTGGCTGCATGAGTTCGAGTAGAGTGAGTACCTTGATCAATGCAATGTATTTCTTGACATTCCCTTTACGGCCAAGCATCGCCAGAGTACCTCTCGTTCAACTTTTGTTAGACTTATAGGTGGGGGTTGTCTTTGGATGTATATATACGAGGAAACGGTTCCGATAAATGCTTTGTTGCCGCCTAAATCGTCACTTCTACTGATACAAGTGAACATTATTTTTGTGTGAAGTTAATTGGAATGACAGGTTTGATCATGAGTGTACATCAGTTCGAGAATCGTTGAAAGCCAGGATAGGGTGCTGAACATCTGTTTTGTCCTAGTTTGGGACACATCGACAGTACGCACTCACTGATGTTCGAACGCAGGACCTCCCGGTTACTAGGTTAGCTAGTAGAGACCATTTATACACTGGGATCCGATCCAGTGGCCCATACATTCCAGCTTCTGCCTATTCGCGATATATATATATATATATATATATATATATATATATATATATATATATAATGTCGTAGGTGAATAACTGACCTATTAAACTGACTTGGTGAACCCAGCTGTCCAGTACTCTCAAGTATTCCAATATTTCTCTAATCGATGTCAACTCGTGATCACACCTGTAACCATTCATATCCCTGCACACCGACACTTGATAATCAATTGGAATTAACTCATATGATAAATTTTTCTTTAGTTCCTTCACGTTCCCAATGGAACATAGGACCTCAAGCTGGTGGCTTGAAGTTTCTGTAGCAGTGTTTAATTTTACAGGATGGGGTTGCTAGCCTCATGCCCAACCTTTCCTCTTTACCAGGATTATTTCTGGCTTAGCGAGGTAAAGGAGTGCGTCGTCGGCCGGGGATTGAACCCCGAACCATGTGCATGGTTGGCGAGCGTCCTAACCCCTGTGCCACCAACGCACCATATATATTAATTAATCAAGTTTAATTAGATTCCTTTGCGTTCAGAGTGGAACTATAAGGCTTCAAGCTTCTGCTATATGAAGTCTCAGTGTAGCGATGGTGTTGTCTTTATACGAAGTGAGGTTGAATTAGTTGCCTCATTTTCAGCCTTTCCTCTTTTAATCGGGCTTACTACCTGCCAAGCAAGGCCTTAGCAATGCGTCGGTCGGTGCATCAAATCCCAGACTATAGTTTGCCAATGAATCACCGATGCACTGCGTTTCAAGTAAACTTCACTACTGAGCAAAGTCGTCGGAATTAACTACATTTCCTCTGCCTTTCTCAACAGTTACATATAGTAGAAGTATAGAAGTATCCTCCACTCATATCACTGGATCATTTCTTTAGTGTATCTGTATATATATAGTGTCATCTGGTGGTGTGGTGCCCTTTTCGTTCAAGGTGTTTATATAGATTCTTTTTCGTTTGTGTCATCCATATATTTATAAACATTATGCCAGTATATTGGCTGGCG